CCAGTCTTTTCAGTGTTGGGCGACAATATACAAACAAATATTGCAATGATCTGTATAGATTTAAGATTTAAAGGCCAAATTCGTGCCAATTTGCGAGTCAGTGAACGCCCATCATTTAGATAGAACAATGGGCTGTTTATCAGTCATCAAAACTCTTTTAATCTGTTTCCAAACTTTTGTTCTGTTTCACTTGTATTGTTAATCTCGTTATAGACTTTAGAGCCCAGCATTTCACATGCGATTCTTTGATCATGTATTCCACGGCTTTTCGTTAGATTGATAGAACTTCGTTGTATTGTAGTTTCAATTTAGGATCGATCGTTCGATAGATTGATTGACTGTCAGAATAATCGTTATTTTCGTCATTGATTGTGGTTCGTGGTCGATTGCTTTTCAAGAATAAAGATTTGTGCGAACAGTCAACTTTGGGTTGTCATCTCGATCAGTAATATAGTCCCAAACACCTCGTTAACCGCGTTTTGGAGCGACAAGGCCCTTGAACTTGAGAATTTAGATTTTGGTCGCCGTAAACGCTACACAGGCTATCAGAAAAACTACTCAGTAACCCGAGCGGAGCACTAGAAGACACGTCTACTCGTTATGTACGACAGCCCTAGACAATAATAACAACAACAACAACAACATTCTTATTCACACTATTTCAGGTAGAAGAAAAAGAGCAACGAAAAAACAAGTATAGAAAACAATAAATAGAAGATATATAATTATATATACAATTTTTTAATTAGTGTGCAACGGCCAAAGTAGCAAAGCTTTCGAGTTCGTTGTTGCTTCCTTACAAGTAAAGAAAGGAACGAAGGAAACAAATAATAATTAAGACTAAACTCATTCACAAGGCAAGAGGTATTATGAAAATAGAATGGAGAAGTTGCATTAAAAAATCACTTACAGAAAAGTTGGAAAACAAAAATAGATATGATTACATAGTGAGACTTCGTTGGAAATTCAGAACTTATGACTGACATTTTGAGAAGATGATTTCTATACCGCATTTTAAAGCTATTAATAGAGAGCCGTTTCAAGTTTGTTGGTACCGTTTCCCATAATTTAGAGGCAGCATATGCAAAGGTAAATTTGCCAGTGTTGGTCCTTACTTTTGGTGATGAAAATTACCCTTGGAGGCGTATTTGGTGTTACACTTGTACAAGCTAGAGACTGTTCTGAGGGAATCATGAAACAGTTAAGGAATATTGGAGGACTTGTTAAATATCTTATGTGCGAGTACGCATGTACTCAATTTAAGAATATCAAGAAGTTTATAGAAAACTTGAGATGACTCTCTACTATCAGCAAAAAATATACAACGAATGCATTTATTTTGAAGAGAACACAACTTGTTTAAATTTGATGGATAAGTATTTCCCCACACTATGACTGCTTATAGTTCACCACTAAATTTTCTCCGATTCTAATTGGTTTAAATCGATCACGTGACGCGATAGTGTTCATCCGTGGAGAGACACTATCAGCCCATAGTGCCCATCCGCGGAAAATACCCGGATGGATAGTGCCCGTCCGCGGAAATTACCCGGATGGATAGTGCCCATCCGTGAAAACTTATCTCATATTATTTAGCCAATGTCCGGCTGCGATTTATTAGATTGACATTTGTGACAGGCTGTATGCATGAATATACATTTGATTGATCTGCTTTTTGGTGGGTTTTGACTGTTTTTCACCTGGCGCGCGGAAGAAAAGTTAGTGGTGAACAATAAAGGCAATAGAGTGTTTATGTCTCGGAACTATCGGTCTGATAGTTGCCCCTTGGAAATTTTATGTTCTTAGAACTAGCATATTTTTTTTTAAGAACATCAAATTTCCGCGGGGCAACTATCAGCGGATAGTTCCTCGACAGAAACACTCTATTGTTTAAATAGTTTAAATAAGGGTATATCAGTGTATAATAAAGTTGCTTGGGAACATGTATACTCACATAGTGTCTTAGTTTATACAGGATCCCAATAGTTTTGGATACCTTGTTTTTAATATGGGTAATTTGATCTTTCCTAGTCAGGTGTTGGTCTATATAAACACCAGGGTACTTAATACAAGCCTTTTGCTCAAAATTTAAAATATTTATAGGAGTGACTTTTTTACGTGGTGAGGTTATTAACATGAAGTTAGTTTTTTTTTTTTCTTGTTAACAGATAATTTATTAATGGAACAATAATTAAGAATCCTAGTCATTTCGCAGTTCATAGCTGATTTGATATCAATTATATCATCTGAACTATAGAAAATGTTAGCATCGTCAGTAAAGAGGCGAAAGGACAATTTGTTGGATGAATTAGCAATGTCATTGATATAAATTAGAAATAATAAGGGACCTAAGGTAGACCCTTGTGGTACACCACAAGTCATTTCTGATAAACTTGACTTTTCATTTCCAATTTGAACAAATTGCCGTTGCGATCCTGGAGATAATTTGCAAACCAATCTTGTAGCCTACCACGGACACTATATTTACAGAGTTTATCTAACAATATTTGATGATTTACTGTATCAAATGCTTTTGAGAAATCTACGAACAGGCCACAGGATACAAAATTGCTCTCAATAGAGGCCTTCAGATTTTCTGTGATCTCCATAATCGCTTGCTCAGTAGAATGGATTTTTCTAAAACCAAACTGATACTTAAATAATACATCATGCTTATCAAGATATCGAATTAGCTGATCATAAATGACTCGTTCCAAGGCCTTACTGAAAGGAGACAGTGCAGCTATTGACCGGTATCACTAGGATCAGACAAAGTTCCACTTTTAAAAACAGGAGTTAATTTTGACACTTTAAATACATCAGGCACTATACCTGTAGAGATTGACTTATTAAAATGTATGCAAATGGCTTGGAGAGGGTCTTAGAAGCTAACCTAACGAACTTATTTGGAATATCCACTGATGATTTCTCATCATTTAGGCAAGAAAAAAAGTTAGCAACCCACTCTTCTGTAACAGGAGACAGAAAAAGACTAAGGAGAATAGTTAAGAGGCCGTGACTGTAAATATCGAGAATTGCTGGCCAGGCTAAAAAAATCGAAAATTCTGATAATTTGCCTGGAAAACCCCTTTAGGAAGATATATTCAAAAAAAAAATATTTCAAAGTTTGAAAAATAAAATGTGTCCGAGGAAATGTGTTTTCAAGTGATCTTGATTTCAAGCTTTCCCTCGCTGAATTTTTCAGTCTCAAAACTAAAGAGAGATCATGCTACATTATAGCTAGAAACTGGAAAGAGAATATAACGTAAAGTTTACCATTTGTTTCTTCCAAAGAGATGCATTTGCCGGGGCCTTTATCAAATGTCTGCCACACCCTCATTCCACCAGGATAAAATCTGAAGTTGTTCAGTAAACTGATGTCATTAATCTTCTTTTGCGTGCGGGAACAGTTTCGCGTTCCCCGAGACTGTCTAACACTAGTCACTACACGAGTCCCAGAACTAGATACCGCTCGCTGAAAGCAGGCCGGATGGGATAATATTGCCCGCTCTCAGAACCAATCAGATCACAGGATTTGTAGAATACCGCCCGCTCACGAATTGAGAAGAAAATAGAAACAATGCTTCTTCAATTTGCACTAAGTGTTTTATTAGTTTTTACCCCTCATACATTTTTCAGGTCTCTGCGGACGTGGCTTGAGGATTATCAGTTCTGGGACAGTACGTTGTCTCCCTTGTCACTGCACTAAGATGTATCCCATGGCTTTGATGTGTTTTCCTCCATTATCTGACGAGGGATGGTCTAAAGCCTCGTTTCCACACGTGTTGGTGTCATCATGGTATCCTCCTGTGCCAAAGCCAATTCTAGAATCAGGAGTCACGCAGTCTCCCTCATTATTTCCAAGGAAACCAATCCTTGCTCTGGAAGATCCCTTAGCACTTCCCATAGCATTGAACCCATCTTTGTTGCAGTTAGGCTGCAAGGAGGCCTCCAAACCAATAAGCGTCTTCCATGTGCTACGCCCTATTGTTGTGTTTCGGTATTTTCCGTCAGCGAGCAGTGAGAACAATGAGTTGGCCTGCCTTCTCATGACGATGAACTTTTTCTGGGGGCCAATCCTCATAACGAGACAGATCTTGGAGAATGGTGTCTTCCAATAGGTCGGTAACTTGGTCTCTTGTGAGTCAAACCCGGTCTTACCTCCTAAAAGGTTATAAGAATTCTTGTCGCTCCAGAAGTGAGAATCGTAATGGAATGTTCCCTAAAATTAAGAAAAAAAGCAATCAAATTATATTCATATCTTTTTTCCTTTCGAAATCCACAGCAAAGATGTTTTTACCTTTTTACCATCAATCTTCATAGCCAGAGTCCATCCTCCATCTCCGCAACCAAAGTCTCCCATATGACAGTAAACGGGAATCTTCTGAGAACCAAACATCAGCGGGTACACCTCGCTCGTACATGAACTATTTGGAAACAAATGTGGAAAACTAAGCCATGTTTTACTTGAATAAGACATTTTTTTCAAATGTTAGTTTGATCTTTTTTTACTGATATTCTAAGACGCGGGCGTAAGTAACCAGTTACCTGATCACCTATTGATAACGTGGCTTTAATCACCAAAACTACGCAATGATTTCTTTCCTTTTAAGCTATTTAGGCTTTGGCTATGTCGTCTTCGATCAGCGACGTTCACAAAGGATTTGAGGAAGGTGCAAGTTGACTAAGTGATTACCAGGTGCCTTTTGGGCTCTTAATTTGTACGTGTAACTTTGAACAGATCAGTTCAATAACAGACACAATTGGTGGGAACAAGTTGGATGAACTTACCTGTCCTTCGCATATTGTTCCTTGCAAGAGGTAATTGGACTAGCTGTAAGAAATGAACGATACGGTGGTTAGTCTAAACAAAGCTTTTGTTCGTCTTTCAAAATAATTCAGTATTTTTAAATATTTCTTTTAATAATACAAAGTTATTGATACCTTCGCTTAGTAATGCCTAAACAAAAAAGCATATTTGCATTTATTAGTGTTTAGTTGATTTACAGTATACTCTGAAACTAAGTTGTTTTTTACTTTTACAAGTCTTTCCATCTCCGGAAAATCCTGGCTTGCATTTGCAGCGATACGATCCCTTGGTATTTTTGCACACAGCATCAGCACTGCAGTTGGATGTACCGTCAGCGCACTCGTTTACATCTGTGAAAGACAAGTTAACAGATTCAACAAAGAAAATTTCTAAGCAAGTGGGTTCAAAATGGCTTTTCTTTAGTTTCATTCCATTTTTTTCCTCAAAGAAAAATAGTCACGTTTCCTTTGCATGTCGGTCCATCTCCAGAATATCCAGCTCTACATGAACAGTTGTAGGAACCCTCCGTATTGTTGCAAACGGCATTTTCATCACAGTCTTTTGTTACTGCAGCACACTCATCGATATCCGCTGAAAATGTTCTTTCTTAATTAGATCGTCATCATTTCAGATGTGAAAATAGAATGTGAAAAAGAAATTGAGACTTACGTGGTATCAGACATGATAGTCTTGCAATTTTGGAGCAGCCCTATTACTAAGGGCCATAAATCCAGTTGAGAGTTGTTTGGTTACGCGAGTTTATGATAAACCGGACCTAAACTTTAATACGTATACTATTAGAAGTAGTGTGTAAACCTTGAGCCTATCGGTTTATAAAATTTTAAATAATAACACAAAAAGACTAACCTTTTTTACAGTTTGGTCCTTTGAATCCACTGGTACACAAACAGCGATATCCTTTGTCAGTAAAACCGCTTTGACAAGTCGCCTTGTTACCGCAAGGGCTGTCAAAACAAGCGCTCTGAGGCCAAAAGGAGTAAAATATTTTCAATATTAATGTTGAGATATCAACAAAGTAGGATGGGCTGATCAATCATCTCCACATTCCAGATTTAGAGCAGCAACCAATGAAATTAAGATAGAAAACGAGGGGAATAATGATAATGCTACAGAGAATCGAGTATTTACAGTGATGTTAGAATTAAAATAATCATTTCAACGCTTATGGTTGGGAAAGTAGTTTTTCGTCACTGGAGATAACTATTTGCTGATGATCCAACACCTACGTCAGCTGCACGATAAAAATAATGGTCTTCCATCTTTAGTTCGCGTTCATGTCCTTCGTGAGTCACATTATTCAATTCACATTTGTACCCTCCATTTCCACCAGCTCGTTTTTCAAGATTAATGCTGACACAGTCTGGTTCCATATAACACATTTTCTCACAAAAATCCATTTCCATGATTTCAACGGTGCGAATCACGTGGTTTATGAGACGTCTGCCATCAAATGCCTTTTCAGGCGTAAACTCCAACTTTCGGCATTGGTCTGCATCCGTAAAGTCTTAGAAATTTCAAAAGAGATATAAGTGAAGGAAAACAATTGTACTAGAGGTCAACATAAAAGACGTGATGATAATGATAATAATAATAATAACAATAATGATAATAATAATAATAATAATAGTAGTAATAGTGAGGTTTAGTATCCAGATTTCACAATGAGTGACAATTCATTCGTCTAATTATTTAAGTATCCTAAATAATTTTGATTCGTCTATCCATTTCTGTTCCTATTTGGACTATTTCTCAGTGGCAATCAACTGTGCTGACACCTACAGGAAATGCACAGATGGAAGTTCATTTCCAAACTAAATACAAATATTTGAGTTAGAAATTTGCATTTCAAAATTTCCCAAAAATAGAGATAAATTTTCTCAGTCAAGATGGAAGTTCTCAGTTTTAATTAGTAAGATGGACTGAATTGATGAAGAAATCCATAAATGATCCAGATCAAGAAACAAGTAACTTTTGCAAAGAGCCTGTTTTGGCAGCGAGCTTTGTTGAATGACATATTGTTCTTCAGTCGATTAAATTACAACTCAAAAGCTAAAAAAAACTACCCTAACAGCTAAATTTTTCGGTGTTCCTTTACTGTGGAAGTTTTTTTTTTTGAGAAAAGGTTGACTAAAATTGAACAAATATCTGATTTTACCATCACAGTAACCACTGCAGCAGACACAAAAAGGAAGAACGGAATGAGAGTGAACTTCATTGCGATAATACAAAAAATTAAAAGACGAATAAATAGGTGGATAAATTAGTAGAAATTATTATCCAACAACACTTCGTAGAGTACAAATAACGCCATAGACGAGTACAAATATCACGCGGTCTTTGTACTCTAGAGTACCGGTTAAACAGTGTAAAGTGTTCTGTTGTTTTAACTCAACCATTTATTTTGGATCACAGTAATACATACAGCAAAACGGCGGGAAAGATACTACACGCGACAATTCATGTTATTTAAACAAAACGTGACCTAGAATATTGTCCCATTATGTAATCGCACAATCAGATACTGTTACAAACAGGTTTTCTCGCATCACGCAAGCGAAGAATTCAAATGTAGTTACGAGAAACAAAATGGAGGACAATTTGAATCATATTTTCGACCACGAAGAGTCAGAACGGCTGGCAAACATACATCTAAAATTATTAGATGAATCGAACCAAGAAAAACAGCTAGACGACCTGGAAATATCTTCATTTATTGAAGAAAATAGAAACAGCAACACGACAACGCGCCAATTCCGTTCCGCTTCGCATACTTCTGTTACGCACTCCCC